AAAATTTTTACTATACGAAATTCGTCATTTGTTACGATCATAGCATATTATAAATTACAGATCCCAAATGATTAATATCGATATTATTGAAATTTGAATATCAATAAAATTTATCAAGCGTACACGTTCGAGCGTTTTAAATAATAATCTCTTACACTGAAAGGCTCTGCATTAGGTCGTTTTTTGTGTTTTATTTATCAAAAATGAGCCTCAGGGCTGAACTTTTTATTTGTAAATATATATACAGTATGTAAATATCTATATATACGTATGTATATACATCAAAAATATAATAATTATGATTAATAAATGATTCGGTCACTATGTGACTATTCAATAACAAATTCCGAAAGCTTCATGGTACGTACGTACGTACGTACGTAGCATATTAGATTTTAAGTGTAGTAGCCTTTATTTCAATTGATTTTCAATTGATATACATTACGCATGCATTTAGCCACTAATATGCTTTGCCACCAATAATCACCATACGTACGTATGTACGTACGTACATATAAATGTACAAAATCTCTAAAGCTTGTTTTTATTTTTTTTTTTTCTTTTTCCCTTTTTTTTTATTCATTCATTCTTGATTCTAGTGTTATTATTTACTTCAAACTTGTTTAAATTATGGCTAAAAATTCTAGAACCAATGAGTCCATTTCGCTTAAATATACTTCATTTGGATTAAAAAAGTCCAAAGAGGAAGATAATTATACCGAAGACGACATGATGAATGCACCGCTATTATCGGATAACTCTGGTAATGAAGGAACTTCAGTGATTGATGAAGCATCCAACGATGAGAATTTAGAAAGTATCGAAAGTATCATAGTGATGAGAATGCCACAAGATGGTGGATCGGTGTTCTCTAGTTTTTTGAATATGGCGAATAGTATTATTGGTGCTGGTAAGTTTATATTTGAAAAAAAAATCCTTATACACAATTGCAGTCGACTCTGGATATAACGGACCTACTCTATAACAGACTTTTTTAAAAATTTTATTATAGAGTTATGTATAGAAATATAGTGAATTATTCTATAAGGAACTTATAAACATTTTTCCTATAAGAACCTTCAGTTCGTTGTAAAGAGAGTTGGCTGTATATTACTTATATCAAATTTATTATTAAATCCTATACTTTTTTTTGAAAACAGGTATAATCGGTAAGCATTGTAACATTAAGTCAATGCAAAGAGCTACATTTAAACTTACACTGTTATACACTTTAGGTCTTCCGTATTCTTTCCTAGAAGCTGGGATATTTACGGGAATGATATTATTAGTTGTTCTTACCATAGCAGTAGACTGGACAATTAGACTTTTAGTACTGAATGCAAAATTATCTGGAAGAAGTACTTATCAAGACATAATGCACTTTTGTTTTGGAAGAAGTGGTATGATAGCCATATCATTATTCCAATTTGCATTCGCTTTTGGAGGTAATGTTTTCTGTTTTTTATATTAAGATTCGTAGCTAAATCAAATTCTGATTACATAATACTTATGATCAGTGTGAACTCTCGTTACCCAGGGATGTGTGCTTTTTGCGTCATTATAGGTAAGCACTAAATAATGGTCTTTGGTTTTATTCAAAAAAATTAATCAGTAAAGGATTACAGGTGATACGATTCCTGAGGTCATAAAATCTATCTTTCCCGGTATAATTGATATGCCGTTTTTCTTTCTCTTCGGACAACGAAATTTTGTAATCATCTTGTGTACTGTTTTCGTGTCCTACCCATTGGCTCTTTATCGAGACATTTCCAAATTGGCTAAAGCAAGTGGTTTGGCCTTGATCTCTATGGTCATTATTGTAGTTTGTGTTACTATAGAGGGTCCTTTAGTAGACTCATCTCGCAGAGGCTCAGAGAAAGGAAAATGGGATTTTATACATCCAGAAGTTTTTCAGGTGCTTTACTTTTTATAACAATATTTTTTTGTCGCTTGGACTAATGAGATAACATATCTTTATATATTTATTATTAAAATGTATTTGATCAGTCGATTGGTGTTATCAGTTTTGGTAATATTGTATATGTTAGTTAATTTGGAAAATTAATAGCTTGATTATTTTTTAACATTATATTTCATTATTTCCCTAGCATTTGTTTGCCACCACAATAGTTTACTTATTTTTGATGCGTTGTACAAGCCCACTATGAGTCGGTTTGCAGCAGTTACTCATTTATCAACTTTTGTATCCATGGTAGCATGCATGTTAATGGCATTAACTGGATATTTAGTATTCACTGATAAAACGCAAGGTATTCAAAACTCTAAATGTTGCATTTTACTGCCATTATTTTATGATTAGTTTTATTTATTTATTTATTTTACACCAGGTAACATTCTGAACAACTTTCCAGGCGATGATGTTATTATAAACGTAGCTCGCTTTTGTTTTGGATTCAATATTATTCCGATTCTAATGGTAGTAAAAAAAAATACTAATATATATTTTAACTACTAACTGTACCATACTGTACCCAAAAGAATATTTTTTTTATAAGGTACACAAATTATAAATCTAGTATATCTTTAAAACATAATATTAACTGTACCGTACCTAGATAATAAATATTTTTATTAGGTACAGTTTTCAAATTAATATATACTATATTGTGTACCTACTAGATACACAAAATTACTAGATACGTATAGGTACTTTAGAAATATACTGTACCTTACCCACACTGTACCGTACCAAAAAGGTATATACTCGTTCTATATAAATGTTTTCACGTCACGTATTATACTCAACATAAATTACAAATTATTAAACCATCTAATACAATACATAGACCATATTTAATTATTATTTA